GAGAAAAAATTAGTTTGGCACTAATTTATTGTTTAATTATTAGATTAGCTCTTATTTTACTTTTATTACTAAATTAGTTTTCATGTATATTTTACCCTCAAATCATTTGTTAGTAAAATCCTTGTTTACATGAATGTCATTATTAAAAAAAATCGAAAAAATAAAAATTTTAAAAAATTAATCGTTTTGCCATATGACAGAATTAATATAATGTCAACACAAACTTATTTTTAGACAAATTTATTTTTTTTTAGCCATAAATTTACTTAATATTTACAGACTTATAAGTGTTTCACCGACTTACTTAACAAATTTATTCTTTTTGGCCATAGACTTGCTTAATTTTCACAGAGTTAATTAGTTTACAATAGACTTTTTTTTTTTTGGGCACAAATTTATTTTATTTTGACAGATTTTTTAGTATTCGATAGATTTTTTCCTCTTTGACCACAAATTTACTTAATTTTGAAAGACTTAATTATTCCCGTCACAAATTTGTTATATTTAGAGACAAATCCTCTATATATTAATTGAGGAGACACTAAAGTAAAAATTCTATGTGTCACTCAATGAAGGTTTCAAGGAACATGTCATTTAAATTAACCAATGAAAACATTTCAATTAATTCTATATATTCTTATTAATTTTTAACATAAACCCATTAATACTTGGTTTGCAAATCTAACTCCAACTAAATGTAATATTTAGACTTACCATATTATCTATTTTAAAAACTTCTTTTATATTTTAAAATTTTTTATTATTATATTTGTGACAATATTATTTATTGTTTATATATGTATTTAGATTAATATGATATATAAAATTTTAATCCATTTCATTATTGAAAAATAAATATTGGTTTTCGTTTATTATGTCCGACAAATTCATATAAATCTAAAATATAATTGACTTATCGTATGTTCTATAATTTATAGGAATAATAGAAATTAATTTTACACTTAAAATATATTGAAATAAATATTTTCATATGTTCTGATCAATTGCACATAAAAATATTAAAATTGATGGCATCAAAATATGCTTGATCAAAATTTAACTTGATTATACTTATGAACAATGCATATCATTTTGTAAGTTTATAAATATTAGAAATCATATGATTTGTTAGACACATTTACATATTAAAATAGATTAAAAATATATTTAATTATTTAATCCCATGTTTGGCGTGGGTCAAAATCTAGTTTTCTAAAATTTGACAGACTTAATTAACTTGTCACAAATTTATTTCCCTTTGGTCACAAATTTACCTTATTTTGACAAATTTATTAGTATTTGATTGATTTATTTCTTTTTGCCACATATTTACATGATAGACTTGTATTGTTTTGACCACAAATTTGTTTTCTTTTAACCATAGACTAACTTACCATGAAATACAAATTTGGCTAACCCAAACCAAATCATACCATATTAACCGAACAAAAACCATTTAAATCGGAGCAAACCGAATTTTCAATTTAAAAAAAAAAACAAAATTAGGGTCCCTTTTTCTGTCCTCTTCTTCTTTTTTAACATCGTGTATTCATGTTTCTCTTACTCGTGATTATCTTTCAATAAAAACATGGTGTTCATTAATTTGATTTGTGGTAAATGAATGCTTCAAAACAATAGATGGTTATTTGGTGTTGATAACAAAAGAGGGAATAAATCGATAAGAATAAACGAAGAAAATTGTTTTCAAGATTTTGTTGGGATGGTAATTGACGAGTACAAGATCGACAAGCAACTTTACGACGTGGGGTTGAGCCACATGTTTCCTTAAAAGGTATTGTTGACATTACGGCAACACACACCGCGGTCCGCCTATAGACGTTGGAAATCGTAGGCAATTCGATGGATTTTTGGAACACGTAATAGCTGAGCCGGTACTTACACAATAAAACGTGATTCACTTTAGTTCAAGTGGAGACTGATGCAAGAAACAAAGACATCACAAGAGAAATCTATGTCACTCTTTACTTTGTCAAGTTGTCATTTTCAAAACCAAGAAGAACCATCTTAGACCATCTTAAACCAACCCCAAGTAAAACCACTAAAAAATAAATATGATTCACTAACTCTTGCAGCTAGCTCAGACCTAATTACATCATCCTTGTAGTGTGCACATACCAAAGGAAGAGATCAAATTATGTTCTTTCCCAATATATATATATGTATATTACAACTTTGAAGCATCATTTTTATGTGTATGAAGATAACAAACACATAACTAAAAGGCTCATAATTAAAGATTGACAATAGTTCAAGTGCAGCTTCATCAACCGTGACGAGAACCTGAAACCAATACACACAGAGACGTGAGTTGAGTAACCCAACAATCAAACAACAACAACAAGAGACTCAATCTGTGAACTAAATACACTTTATTCACCGAATCACATGAACAAAAATGTGAAACTATAAATCACAATGCTTAACAAACTCAAAGTCTCATGAGTAAACTAAAGCATCTTCATGAATCATTGTTTATTTTTTCTCCCAAAGCATAAGCATTTAAAACAGATATCATGGTGTGTTGAAAACGCAACAATCTTAAGCAAATGCAAAACACTTGCGACATATATTTGTACCTTGCATATAAAGAGAGAATCTCAAATAGTCAAAGAGAGAGAATAATATGGATGATCAATGATCAATGGATGATATGAATAATGGATTCGACACTGATATTAATCGGCAAAAGAGCAATCAATTGTACTCGTTCATGAGATACAAACCACAAAGAAGATGGTGGAGGCTCATCGAAAGAATTGAGATGTGGAATCAGAAAATTAAATCAGAGAAAAGCCGGCGGAGACTCGTCGAAACCGGAAGCGTAACTAGAGATGGCGGAGCTCGTCGGATTCCACCATCGACGTTTTCCCCTTTTGGAGAGGTTTAGGTTTTCTAAACCCAGGAAAAACTTTGTGGAGACAATTGATTTTTAATATTTTATCAAATCATTCAATTGTACTTGTTCATGATAATATAAAAGTAACTAATCTTTGAATCAAGAGAAAAAAATTAGTTGATAATCGAGGCTGCTGACTGTGAACAGTGAGGATTTATCGAGATACAAACAAAACAGAAGACGAAATTTTGACGACATGAAAAAAAGACTTTTTTTTGTCGTCCACTTTGCTTTATTTCATAAGCAAAAACTTACATTGGCCATGATACAACATAACTTTGAGAATGGATTCTAGCTTGCCTAGCTAATTGATCCGCAATACCATTAGTTTGGCTAGATATCTTAAGAAATGTGAAATTACAACACCTAGCTATCCGAATGATGTCTTGTAACTGAATGATATAAAGAAAATGCCTTACCTGTGGAGAATCTAAATCCAAAGATGTGCATTGAAGTAAAGAGTAGACCTTTTGAAGATCTCCACAGAAGGTAACATCCCTATATCCAAGCCTTTGCAACTCCACAACAGCCATTCTCAAAGCTTCTATCTCAGCTTGATCAGAAGACTGTGTTTGGTGAAAAGATCCTGACCCTCTGAGCACTTGTCTTAACCTGCAATCATGTAAACTCCATCCAATGCCTATAGCATCATTTGGTGAACTCTAAGAAGCATCTACAAAACAGCAATGTTGATTAACCAAATTCATGATCTGCCGCATTGTTTTTGGTTCATTTCCTGATGCTCCTCTGATTGCAGAACCTGTTGCGCCTCTACAATTTTGAGATCCTTCATTCACTTCATAATCGAAAGCCTCCATCCATGAATTATTGTCTTGGACAACCTTATTGATAATCATAGGAATTGAAAAGCGCTTATGATTAAATATAACCTCATTTCTCTGCTTCCAAATACGCCATCCCAGATTATGAAATAAGATGGCCTGGTCAGAAGAATCCTGAATAGCTGTCATGAAAGCAGTGTAATTTTCCATAAGATCATTTGAAAGCAAGAAATCATGATTAGGCCAAGCAATCGATGCAAGCTCCCAAACCTCTCTACTCACACGACATTAGAATAACATATGATTCAAAGATTAATCCTCTTCCCCACATACAGGACATATGCTATCATTAAAAACCCTTCTCTGCGTAAGTCTAGTAGCTACTGGAATAGCATTATGAAAAATTCTCCTCTAAAAGTGTTTTATTTTAGGAGACATATTATATCTCCACAAAGATTTAAACAGAGAAAGAGGAGTGTGAGAAGATTGACCTTTTTGAGCTCTTAAATAATTGTAACCTGACTTGACTGTATAAGCTCTATTTGGTGTGTACAACCAAGAAATCCTATCTTGGACAACTGTGATGGAAGGCCTCAGTTGTTAAACTAAAGGGATATCAACTGGATGGATGAATGATCTCAATTTTGCATCATCCCAAGCATGTGTGCCATCACGAAATAAATCTTTTACCTTTAAATGTGGATCGACATCAACATTCTTTGGAATTGGTGCTCCAGAGGGTTTGGTAGGAAGCCAATAATCTCTCCAAGCCAGTACAGTCTCCCCATTGCCAATGTGCCACCTGATTCCATTCTTCAACAACCTATTGCCTTGAAGT